GGGGGAGGAGGATCGGCGGGTGGGAAGAAGGAATCGAGAGACACCACGCCACCACGTCTCACCCAGGCTAGCGCTAGAGGTGAGACAAACCCTTGTGTGGAGGGCCGATTTTTGATGGATCGCAGCGAGGGAGCTGCTCTGCCATGTAGGAAACCCGGACCCAGAATGGTTTAGTGCCTGGTTCCCCACGAATGTGCGTTCTGTGACGGTTGAGAGGGCGGCCCCCTTTCTGGCCGCGCCCCGTTTCCCAGAACAAGGGCTCTCCTCTAGGGACCGGGTCCCAATGCGCACAGGGACGTGCGCACGCCCCGGGGGCGACAGACGCCCGGGCTATCCGAGGCCAACCGAGGCTCCTTCTATGCTGCCCTAGGGTTCCGCCAAGACAGGATTCCCACTTAGAGGCCTTCAGTCTTAATCCCACAGATGGTAGCTTCGCCCCATTGGCTCCTCAGCCAAGCACAGACACCAAATGTCTGAACCTGCGGTTCCTCTCCTAACGAGGATTACCATGGCAACAACACAGCATCAGTAGGGTAAAACTAACCTGTGACGGTCTAAACCAAGCTCACGTTCCCTATCAGCAGGTGAACAATCCAACATTTGGTGAATTCTGCTTCACAGTGCTAGGAAGAACCGACATAGAAGGATCAAAAGGCGACGTCACTGTGAAAGCTTGGCCACCACAAGCCAGTTATCCCTGTGGTAACTTTTATGACACCTCCTGCTTAAAACCCAAAAGATCAGAAGGATCGTGAGACTCTGCTTTCACTGTCTGTATCTTGATTGAAAATCAAGATCAAGCGAGCTTTTAACCTTTTGCTCCACAAGCATTTCAGTTTTTAAAACAGTGTCTTTAACAGTCTGAGGACCATAGTAATTTTATGAGATGATATCCTTTTCCTGTTCACTCATTTTTTAAAAATCACACAACCATGTAAATGCTCCTGTTCAATGTGTTCCTCAGTGTGTGTTTAACATGCAGCCCCTTCTGGAAGTTGTCCTTAGCAGGAACATTTTCATAAGCTCTTCCTAACACATTAATATCCCCTCCATATTTCTCACCATTGTAAACTCGGTGGGACTGTATCACTTAAATAGTCTTAACTGTGGGAAGAGGCCCCATTTAATAATTAAGAGGTTTTGGTATGTTTTTGTGTTTTTTGTTTTGCATTGCTGTGTATGGAACCCAGGAGTTGACTGCATGCCAAGCAAGCATTTCACCACTGTGTCACATCACCAGCAATATTAAAACCTGGAGAAGCAGTGGTCTCAGGAAATGAATCGTGTGTTTGAGACCCTGCATGGCAGGCATTTATAAAATTCAGGTTTCCCAGGTCGGGGGAGAATAAGCCCAGGGACCAGCACATCACAGCTGCACCCAGTTTGGTCCAACACCTGAATCAGGGAATCCCTCTGTGACTCCTGTCCTCCCCACACCGATGCAGACACAGCTGCAGGCTGGGGCTGCCTCAGACCTGGCTCTAGGCTGGGAGGTCACCATGAAGAGACAGAACTCTGGGGACTCAAAACTGCCCAACCCCAGCCAGAGCAGGAGGGACAGAGTGTGTTGAAGCACTGGAGACCATGAGGCCCTCAGACTCTAGAATTGCAGGAGAGGCTCCGGTGCCGCCATATCTGGTTCCAGCCACTCACATCCAGACCTCACAACCACCTCACGTCATCTCAGGACACCCATCCCACACCGTTACCATTGCGTGGCTTCAGGATCCTCCAGGGTCCTTCCCGCGCAGCTCACAGCTGTTAGAAGTCATAAAGTAAGAAGGCCTAGCCAGCTGGAGCAGATCTCAGCAACGTGTTCAGGATCAAAACTTTAGCGCCATGACACAGGAAGAGCCTGCCTGCCTCCGCCCACCTGATTGGACAGTTTATACCACCCGCCCCTTCATCACTGATTGGCTTCTGCCCCACTGCCCGCCCTCTGAGGCGAGAGTGACCACAAAAACAAATCTCTTCCTGCCTGAAGGGATCGCAAATGATAGCTTTTAACTCAGAGACTTTAACCCTTGGATTTTCCCAGGATGGGAGCCTAACCTAGCCTGAGGGATAATGGCTTTTAAATAGAGTGTGCTCCTGGCTTTTTTGTGCTGCACTTCTTACTGGATTCTATAGGCTCTTGCTGTGTATTCGCCCTGAAAATGTGGTCACAAGTGTGCTCAGTCATCTCCTAAGTCAACATCCCTTGACATCAGAGAACCATGGGTTCAGGTTGGGTCAGGACGCAATGGAGTAGAGGGAGTATCTGATTTTATGATTGGTCAAACTGTGGAATGAGGTAGGGCGGCTTCCTGGCCAAGACATCCCCTCACTGTGTTCATAGTCAGTCAAGAAAATGCATATGTGCCCAAAAGCAATACAATTATTGAATAAATAAACAATTTAAATGATAGCAATGTTCTGCAACAGTCAAGATTTAAAAAAAAAAAAAAGCAAACATTTCATTTCAGTTGCATCTGACCAGTAAGCTGCTTAAGGGTCACAAAGAAAAGGTGATTTCTGAAAATAAACATTCTTTGTGCGAAGGCAAGGATAATTGCTAATGAGGTGCTGGTGGGGCAGGGAAAGGGGCGGGGAGGAGTAGGTAACTCTACCCGGGCCTAAGATCGCCTCCTTCTCCCCAGCCAGTCTCCCCATCCCTGCGCTGTGCAGGCAGCTCCGGAAAAGCCTGTGAAGCAAGAGGAAATGTCCGCTCGGGCGCAGACAGGGTGGCAGTGGTGGCGACCCAGGCGATAATCCGCAGGGGCAACAGCACAGAAACAGTGCAGCCACCCAGGATACTCGGCTGTCACCTTCACCGTCACTGTGACTCTGCGGGCCGCTGCCTGAAGCGAGTCAGGGACGCCATAGCAGGGCGATGACGAGGAGGAGGAGAAGGCGGAGGAGGCGGCGACGGCGACCATGGCGACCACCACGGTAGAATCCCCTGCCACCGCCGCCACCGCCTCCCCCACCAGGGGGCAGCACATAGTCAATCTGCCCTTAAATATCACCATTTTCCTTTTTCCTTCTGCCCTTAATAATTATATTTATCCAATATATTTAGTTGAGAGATGTATTTTTATTATGCTGGTTTTCTTTTCTTTTTAAATTATTGTTTATATTCAATTAAAATGTACAAAATAAAGTTACACTGCTGGTCTTGTAAGAGCTATACAATTTTCTTAAATGTATACCTATAACTGCGGCAGTTCACTTATTTCAATAATTTATAATTCTGTTCCTTTGTTTTCTGTAAGACCGCCTAGAATTTAAAGGCTACCTTATTGTACATATAAAGCATATTATAACAGTGTAGTAGTTAGTAAAGCACTGGGTTTGGTTTGGTTTTGGAAAAAAAATTCGTAAAATGCAGCCCTACACGCAATACACTGCAACATTTCTTGGCCACAATGCAATGACAGCTAATGACTTCAGAGTATAACACCCGGGGCTGGGGATTTAGCTCAGTGGTTCTGCTGCCTGCCTCGCAAGCTCAAGGACCCAAGTTCGATCCCCAGTACCCACCCTCCAAAAAAGCAGAGTATAAGATCCCTCTGACCTGCAGTTCTCTCTTCATAGGTTAAAACTCTACATGTTTCAACATATTAATACTCAGTAGAAGAAAAATATTATCTGGAGTGTTGTGATACTCATTATTGTCACTTGATTTGCTTGAGAGATGGCCAGATCATGGAGTGTGACCATATGTGGACCCCCGCCTTTTATCTTTTCCTCTCAGGCTTTTACTCTGCTCTCTCTTTCCTAGCTCCCACAAGGTGGCTAACATTTTTTCTTCAATTACTTTGACCATAAGGTTTCTTCATTGGAGAGAGTTGGCCACAGACTGCAATCTCTGAAACCAGGAACAGAAATAAATCTTTTATCATTACAGTCTCTATGTCAAGTATTTTTGTCCCAGGAACAAAGAAAATAATTCGGTTCATGTTAGGCACCTGAACTAAATAAACTTCCATATGCATCACCCATTCTTCTGAGATCTATGTGACTGGTCTTTAAAGTATTCCTTCATGTGTATATATTTCATTCAAACTACTCCAAGTCTTTGCATATATGAACCACTTGCCAAAAAAACCCAAAAAACCCTCTGGTAACCAGTAAGAACCACAATGAGGACAAATTCCTCAACATTATATGTACAGGAGTCACCTGTTCTCTACTGCTTTGTGATTTTTCACTATCAACACTTTTAATTATTTTATTTTATTTTATTTTATTGTTAACACTCTTTTTAGAGCTGCTTTCAGAAAGTGGAGGCCACATTCCAGGGAGGTATGTAGTCCAGGAAGCACCAAGAGGTTCCCCATGCCATCCTAGAACTGGTGAATCATAGAGAGCATCAGTGGCTCTCAAATAATAGAGTCAAATAATATCAGGCCCTTATCTGTGAGAACCCAACTCCATGTCTTGTTCTCATTAAAAACCTTGAATCCCGCTACCATTTTGCCCTCAGAACCTGGCTCCCCTGACCATGACTGCCTCAGCCTCACCAACGAGTTTTTGTCAAGTCATCCAGATCTGCAGAAAACCGTGCTGCCTGATGCTGATTTCATCCTGTTCATGGATGGGAGCAGCTTCATGGAAAATGGGGTACACTATGCTGGCTATGCAGTGATGACTCAAGATGAAAAGGTCCAAGTGGGATCCCTCCCCACCAGATGGTCAGCTCAGTGAACAGAGCTAAGGGCACTCATATAGGCTCTCCAATGGGCAAAAGGGAAGGAGGGTAAATGTTTGTAGATTCCTATTATGCCTATGCTACCTTTTATATTCATGGCATAATATACAAGGACATGGTCTTCTCACAGCGGAGGACAAACAGATTAAAAATAACAGGAAATAATACAATTATTGGAGGCAATGTAAGAACCTGATAAAATAGCAATGGTGCATTGCTCTGGGCACCAAAAAGGAAAAGATACAACAGCAAAAGGCAATGTTAAGGCAGATATAGAAGTCAAAAAGGCAGCTAAACATAAACTTCAGACAGAGATACAAAGGCCCCTAGCTGCTATAAATACTCAGATAAAGAGGACCTCCCTGTGCTAACCCCTGCCCATTTGATAAAACCAGGGGACTGAGTTTATGCTAAAAATTGGAAAAAGGCGCTTTTGCAACCTATATGGAAAAGACCATATGAGGCTCTTATAGTTACTCCCACAGCTCTCACGATGGCTAAAGTCCAACTGTGGATTCATCACTATAGAGTGAAGTGACTGAGAACCCCATGGACTGTGACTCCAGGAGACAGCACACTCAAAGCCCTGCTTTCACCACACCAGAAGCTGGTGAGTCCATGCATGGCTGAAGAATGGGACTGCAATCAAGATATTATGGACTTTTATTGTGTCAAATGTTTATGAGTTGTTTTGTTTTATTTTTGTACTGGGGATTGAGCTCGCGTCCTTTCACTTGCAAGGCAGGCCACCAAACTGCTAAGCTAAATCCCTGGCATTTTGTTTTTTGAATTAAGAGTTTATAAGCCTAAAGATGATGTTTGATAAAAAATATGTGATCTTTAAAACTGTTAAATGGGAACTGGAGGAACACCCCCTCACGCTTCTTTTTTATACCTGTCCTAAAGAACATTATGGAAACCCTGGTACCATACTTGACTGTGGTAGATATACACAAAAAAGATGTATTGTTCAGATAAAACTCAAATATGGTTGAACAGTTCTGTGACAAAAATATTGGTAATTGTGATAATTGTACACAGCGACATTGTAACCCCTTAAAAATGTATGTAGCCTGGCCTTGGAAGGCAAGCTGGTTATAGGGAGTAGTTTTTCATATTTATATTAGATATCAGTCAACTGCTAGCCATGTGCCTTAGAGGTTAAAAAGATGGATTCTACAGATTAAAAAGGTCTGGAAGGGCCCCCCTCCAGAAATAGAAAAAAAAAAAAAAAAAACTCCTGCACTACAGGAAATACAAAATATCTTAAAAGGGCATCCAAAGAATTATACAGGAATAGATACGATGGATTTAATTGATGGAACTCATTCACTGCTGCTATTAGCCTCTGACTGCTAGATTTGTGCACCACTCACCATGATGACTTATCAGGCAATTGGCATCATGAGTGACCTACCCTTAGAGCCAACAAAGCTAACAATGTCGCCCTTACTCAGCTACCCATTAGATTTAATGGGTGTGAATTCAATGAGTGGTAAGGAGTTACCCCCAAAACAAAGGGAGGAATGATACAGAGAACTTCTGTAAATAATCTAAAAACCTACAAAATGTTAGGAAAATGCAAAATGACTTCTGCTGTCTCTAACAGCAACCTGCTTTGTTTAGTTCAAAATTAACACACACTAGAGGCATTGATCATGAAATGAGATATCTGGCCTCATCCCTAACCTTGAACACCCCCTTCCTGTGCACTAGAATAGATAGCTAGATGAATCTTGAGGTAAACTCCCTAACTACAAGGAATTGTTATGTCTGGGTTAAAGTGAACTGTCTGGTTACTGTAATTTGTACATGGGTAATGTGAACTTAGAAAATAAAATATAAGCACCTGAATGAGATCATAGCTGTAAAACCTATAAAAAAAAGAAGCTGCAACCCAATACGAGGTCGATCACCATTGCCTATCTGAGTCTGATCGAACTTTGTCAGGCAAAATAAACTTTTATTATTTTACTTCCAAAAAAATAAGAAAGAGAAGGCAAGGTATTCATTCTGTTGAAACCACTCTGGTATCCTCAAGGCAAGGCAATCTTGCTACTCTTTATTGGCTATATCTCCTGTGAGTTAAATTCTAATAGCTCTGGGTCTCATTAGGTTCAAGCAAATTCACATTTTGCTTCATTATTTCCTCCTCAGTTAGTAAACAAAACAGAAAAAGTAAAAACGTTAGAAAACAAAAAATAACAAAAGATGTTTATTAAACATTAAACCAAGTGGAAAATGGGCCTGGGATTGGATGAGAAGGACGAGGGTAGGCAGAGCCAGGGAGCCAATGAGAAGGGTGTGAGTAGGTAGGGCCCAGCCATGAGCCTTCTATAAAAGGGGAATTTGGGCTGCAGCTCCTGCTGTCACCTCCAGCTCTATGTTCTAGTCACTGAGGACCAGAGACCACATTGAGGCTTCTGCCCATTGGTATTTTGTGTAAGTTCCAGACCTTCTTGCAACTGCAGTAGTGAGAGGAGACATGGTTGGAGGTCATGAGAAACCCAAGCGGTTCCGCTCATGACTTGAAGAGCAGCTCACCTGGGGGCTTGGCTGGTGGAGGTGAGGCTGCCTCATCTTCCCTCCCCACCTACACTCCTCGCTGTCTGGGCACCTCCCGGGCCTAACACCCCATGAACCTATTTCCTCCACCTCTGCCTTCTGTCCTCACCTCTTACCTGCTCCCTGTTTAGGCCCTGATGGAGAGCACATCTTACAGGTCAAACCTGTGACCCACACCCTGCTTCACGTGTCAGTGGCTAGAGTGGGATCGTGATATTTGGATGGCCTTATTAACAACAGGATGTACCTGAGATGAGCAGAAACCGGGCTGATCACCTCAGGCGGCTTCCAGTGGGAGGTACTAGCCTGGAAAAGGGAAGGGTGCCTGGAACAAAAGCCAGACTCTTGGGAGGGGTCCAGGTGTTTCCTGGCTGTCCACACAGCAAGAAAATGGTCTCATCTTTGCAAGCAACCTAGAAGGCTGACTTCGTCCTGTCTTCTGGCATCCTAGGATCCTACCCTGCCTATACTTTCCTAGGGAGGCTTTGGAGGCCCAGGTGTGATCTCCACACACTGCTCTTCTTCCAGGCTCCGAGATGACCTCTTCCCAGGAGGCTGTCTCCACTAGCAGGACCGAGCAGACTGCAGTTCAAGGCCATAATGTAAACACCCAGGTGCCTGAAGTTGAGCTACGGAACAGGAGGATCCAGGTGCCTAAAGTTGAGCTACGGGACAGGAGTATCCAGGTGCCTGAAGTTGAGCTAAAGGACATGAGTACCCAGGTGCCTGATGTTATGGTTGATGATGCTACTACCCAGGTGCCTGAGGTTAAGTACCGTGGAAATCAGACTGATCAGACTGTTCCAACCACTTCTGGGAAGTATGACGTTGAATGAATAAGCATGAAAGCTAAGCAGGGGATCAAGTGTGAATCCCTAAAAAAAATCACCTTTCTGATCTCCTGCCCTAGAAGCTGAAGGAAGAATGTGTGGGTTGACTTTTTCACTAAACTTTGCAAATAAAGATTTATAATGTTCTAATAAAGAGTCACATCTCAGGTCTTTTAACTGGAAGGTAGAAGGAAGGGAATGACCTTCCACAGTGCTTCTGGGTGCTGCCCTCTCCAGAAACAGGTAGGGCTTCTTGCATTGCCACCATCTGGGCCACGGTATTCCTCAACTCCCAGTCAGATAGCAGTTGTGCTCCTTTACCAAGTGCATCTGTATCTGCAGCCAACAGGACTTCTGACCCACTGAGTCAACCCTTTTCAGGAAATTCTCCCATTGTGATTCTAGGGAAGGTGACTTGGGATGCAAAAACATCCACCCAGTGGCTGGAGCCTTGCTGAATTTGAAAGGCCCAGTTCATAAATGACATAAAATGACTCTGCCACCAGCTACTCCCTAAACTGGGACAACTAAGGGCAGGAAAGCAGCAGAACTGCACTGCTGTGGTCCTCGAGGCTTGCTTAGGTCACCTGAGCTGCCACAATATTTGATGCAAAAAAGGCACAGGCAGTTCCAGGGTGCTTGGTTGCTGCAGCACCAGGAGCCCATCCCAGGATGCAACCCAGTCCCAAGGGTACAGAAATGCCCGTCCCAAACCGGGCGTGGTGGCACATGCCTTTAATCCCAGCACTCAGGGAGGCTGAGACAGGAGGATCACTGTGAGTTGAGACCAGCCTGGGCCGCATAGTTCCAGGTCAGTCTCAACTACATAGTGAGACCCTGTCTCAAAAAAAACAAGAAATGCCAGTCCCTGATCCTATGTGTGGACAGCAGAGTGCCAAGATTAAGCAACAGCACAGAGTCATCTTTATCACATAAAATTTTCATTTCAAAAATTCAAGGGCCAGGGATTGAGCTCAGTGGCGCCACACCTGCCTTGCAAGTATGAAGTCCTGAGTTCAATCCTTGGTACTGCAAAAACAAACAAACAAACAACAAAAACAAAAATTCAAGGTGGAGGCATTCGCTGAGGAGTTGACAGAAAGGAACAGCAGCTGAAAGCTGGGAAGGCAGAGCCCAAATATTCTGCCTTAAGAGCTTAGTGCCAAAGCTGGACCTGAAGCCAATGACCAGGATATGATCTCCTCCTTATGGAATTTCCTCTGCTAGGTGACCCATTTGCAATGCATTCATTTTACCTTAAAGAAATCAGAAAGATGCTATGTGAAGACTGAGCATCACTTGTGATGCATGTTGTGGAGAACCTGGTTGCAGTTTCTACTTCTATCTGCAAAAGAGTAGTCCCAGAAAAGAGTAAGAGACTGAACAGAAGAAAATGCTACTTGCTAGGCTATAGATGTAGCTCAGGTAGAGCAATTGCTCAGCAGCCACAATCATTGGGTTCGATCCCCAGCACTGGGTGTAAACAAAACATAAACCCACTTAAATATGTTGGGCTCTGGTAACTCACCTTCATAGCTAACATGTAAAACCACTTGAAAATTATGGAAAACATTTTGTGGTGACGGTGCACACTTACGTTTATGATATATGACCTCTGTGAATGGTGTAGAAACAGTGCAAGGACCACGGCAACTATTTGAGAGATTACACCCCTCTCCCTTTCCACTCATTCCCAAAGCACATGTCCATGTAGATGCACGAGTTCAATGAGTTTTTCAGTGTGAATTTAACAGGAAGTCCCTCCTGAAAGTTGTTCTTAGCAGGAATATTTTCAACTGCCTTTGCTCACACATTAACATTCCCTCAGTATTTCTCAGCATTCCAAATTCTATAGGAAACCTTCCTTTAATTATTTTTGTTTTGTTTTTTGTTTTTTGAGACAAAGTCTCACTATGTAGTTCAGGCTGGCTTTGAACTCACTTATATAGCCCAGGCTGGCCTCGAACACACAGCAATCCTCCTGTCTCTGCCTCCTGAGTGCTGGGATTACAGGCGAGTACCACCATGCCCAGCTGAAATTTTCATTTAAATAATCTAATTATGAATAGAGGTCTCATTTGAATAATTAAAATATTAATTTTTTGTGTGTATGGTTGTGTACGTAACCCAGGATTTCACTGTGAGCATGGTAGTCACTTTACCACCGAGTCACATAGCCAGTAATGTTAAATCTTTCTTGGAATTTTCATTGCTTTTATTAACATCTATCACAAGTTTTTCAATGTGAGGATATATTTGGAAATTTAGAAATTGACCATCATCATGAAGAAGAAGCCAGAAGGGACAAGGGTCCCTGCATCACAGACATTTGTAAAATTGATTTTCTCCAGGTCTGTTGCCGGGAGGAATGAAATCAGCACCACGGCTCAGAAAAAGTGGAGACATGGCTGTGTCCGATACCCAATACCATGCCGTGGGCTGGGCTGTTCATTGTCAGGAGACAGGGAATCAGAGAGAAAGGCAGTCTAGGAAACGAACCTTGGCTCCTCACCACAGGAGGTGGGCCTCCTGCCTTGGCCCACCCAATTTCATGGTTCATGCAGCCATGCCCTTATCACTTTAATGACAATTATTTTATCTATAAGCCAATTTAAGTTGTAGACATATTTTAACCTATATAAACCATTTTCTATGGAAATGTAAAAAAAGCAAAAGCAAAAAGGAGAAGGAAAGAAATTGTTGAGCTCAAACAAGACAACTCTAGGTATTGCAACTGGTTGTGACAGGGAAAATTTTAATAGCAAAAACTTAGGAAATGTCACAATATAAGATAATTTCTGCCCCTCACTCTGCTTAGTTCAGAATTAACCGGTACCAGAGGAACTTAGTCTCCCCCAAAAGTTTTGTAAGTGAAAAGAACCATTGTTAGCTTTGTTGACCAAACAAGCTCCCTTCCCCCTGGCTAGAATAGGTAACTGAATAAACCTTAAAGGTAACTTTCCCTGACAAAGAACTGCATCGGGGTTGGAATTCAGCTGCCTTGCCACCATGTTTTAGGTATCAGCAGTGTGAGCTGTGAAAACGCAATGTAACCAATTGAATGAGATCAAAGCTGTAAAACCCTATAAAAGAAGGAGTTGTAACCCAATGGGGAGTTGATCAGGGCACCAACGTTAGGTGTCATTGAGCCCCATCGATGGAGTAAACTTTTTTATTTTACTTCCATTCTGTTTGCTCTCTGTGTGTTACCTGCCAATTCCTTCTGTAACAGTTACAGATTGAATAGACAGACAAGCACACATAAGGCAATTGTTTTTAAACCTTAGTGCACTGAGATGTATTTGAGCATGGCCTTTTTATGAATCAGCAGCAACTATTATTTTAGTTTATGACATAACCTATAACCATAGCAGTTATCCTTCCTTCTCTTTATCTTCCTGTGCCTATGTTCTTTTAAAGAAGGAACATGAGCCAGGGATTTAATTCAGTGGTTCCACCACCTGCCTTGCAAGTGCAAGGTTCAGAGTTCCATGCCCAAAACCAAAAAAAAAAAAAAAAAAAAAAAAAAAAAAAAAAAAAAAAATGAAAGAGGGCCTCTCTAGGTTGTGTTCTTGCCCTGTTAGGTCCCCAAAGTTGGGTCCCTCTTCACTCAAACAAAAGTAAAATTGGCCCCAAAACAATTAACTAGGCAGTGTCAATGGAAAACTGAGACACCAACTTAGGGTCACTTTTGAGACTAAAGAATGATTGAATATAAGCCATTTTCCTCCAGTTTTTTTTCCAAAGCTGGTCTAATAGGCAGGTGGCACTGTAATTTATAGTCCACAACACACTTGGTCACCTTTTTTGGAAGGGAAGGGGGGGTCTTTCAAGAGATACCATGGCCAAGATGTAGTATAACAGAAGTTAAAGGCTTTTTTGGTTAAACTCTGAGGAATCTAAATCTCTGTGGTGCTTAAGAAGACATTCCAGGGGCAGTCTGATGGCTCAGCCCCCATATAAGAGAAAGACTGAATGTAAGGGTCTCTTTTACATTCATTGGAGTGCAAAAATTTCCCCCAATTCTGAAATGGGGAAGGAAGCCTGTCTAGGACACATTCTACCCTGTTGTAGGTTTTCACCTAGGACATCTATCCCCCTCTCTGATGAGGAAGAATGCCTATCTGGATCGCAACCTATTGTACGTCTCTACCTAGGACATCTCTCATCAGGAAGGTCAAGCGTGGCCTTGAGTGCCTCGCTGGCCCCTTAACATTGTCAGAATTTATCCACTTACTCATGTATGGATTTAGAACAGTGCCTCACTTCAATCTTTCTCTTTGAGTAATTGGACCAGGACCTTTGTAACCCCTCTCATGTCCTCAGTAATGATGTCTGTGCCACATCTCAAGTGCAGAGAGCTCCCAGAAGGCTCTTTCTTTCAAGGAGGCTAAGATGGTTGTTAAAGCCAGATTGCGAAGTGAATAAGAACTTTTCTTTGGTTTATATAATCTGAGGAATAATGGCCTACTATAGCAATCTAAGAGTAGCTTTGACCATTTTTTAATTGGTACTCCAAGACCTTGAATTGAGAAGCTCTAAAATATAGAGTGAGGATAAGGCCCTCTGGTACACTGTTCTCTATATAGATTTAATTTTTTTTAGGTATCTAGCCAATTTGTTGGGGATAGTGGGTTGGTGACAGAACAAATGAAAAGTGGAAGGGAAGAGAAGGGAAGGATTTAGCCAAGGCCTTGTTTCAATGACTCAATTATCTCTGAGTGAACGGTGACAAACAGGGCAAGATGTAATGAAAACTTCTAGTCTGTCTTCTAGATAGAGACAAGTAATAGTTCAGAAGGAATCTCAGCACTTGGCCTTATGACAAAGTCATCTCCCAGATATTTTGGATTTTCTATGTAGCCACCTAGGCAATTTCCCTCTATAGCAGTACTGACTAAGCTTTACTTAAACCCACTTAAGAAACTCACAGATTAAAGTCTGTTATCTCTTGTGTAGCAACCACAAATTTTATGTTAGTAGAGGCACAT